CATCTCTACCACGTCTTGTTTCTATCCATGGTTTTCAGGGTTCTCTTTTTGGCAAATTTTTCTCAGATCTGTTTAGTCAATCTTATCACCAGATGGCTAAAAGGAATTCATTGTGTTCCTACGCAGTAAAAAGTTCTTTTTCAGGGCTCTGTCATGGGTCTATTTTTTGTTTGTTTTTTTGTTCATCCTCTACCTGTTTCTCAGTGTGTGACTTGATTAGATTTCAGAGCTGAGTTTCATCTACATGCTGTTTTGCTGAATGATGCATTGGCAAGGCATCTGTACCTAGTCTAGTAAGTATGTGTAGGTGATCAAAGAGTATTTCAAAACTCTTCTGGGAAAGAATTGCACTCTTGAGCCTAGAACATGGAACTGCTTAATAGGGCTGTGTGCAGCTTCAGTTGCTGATTCGATTCGGTGGAGATTCAGCCCGATTTGGCAGCCAAATCTCCAAATCTGAATCAAATCAGGAGACCCTTTAATCTCTCTGAATCGAATCAGAACCCTCCGAATGAATTTGGAGAGATTCGGAAAGATTCAATGATTTGGACATAGACACAGCTTTAACTGTTTTTTCTACGTACCTCAAGGTACTAGGTGTCTTGTGAATGCTAAGACGGTGGGGCAGATGGAGCATCCCATGGAAATGCGCAGGGGTGGAGGGTCCCAGTGCGCTTAGTGGCGGACCTGGAAGTGGACCAGAAGCACTTCCGGTCCACTTCTGGGTTCACCGCGGAGCGCACAGGACCGCCCCCCACTGGTGCCTCCTGGGTCTGGGGGGGCACTCGGGGTCCCTCTGCAGCCAATCGCCGAGCTGGTGGAGTGCAGGGGGGGGGGGGACCGCTGGCAAGCATGCAGGGCTGTGTGCTCCCTGGCAGACCCAGAAGATCCAGGTTCACTGCCAAGCACATGGAGGGCCCCCCTGCACTCCTGTGGGATGCTCCATCCACCCCACCATCTCAGTGCTTGCAAGCTGCACCTGGTACCTCGAGGTATGTAGAAAAACATTTAAAGCTGTGTCTATGGCCGAATTGCTGATTCTCTGAATCAACATCAAATCAGATTCGACCGAATCAAATCAGAACAGTGATCCAAATGAACGAATCAAATGCGGCCCACTTTGCACACCCCTACTGTTTAATAGACTCAGGATAACATTTGTTTTGAATTAAGTATTCCTGACTTTAGTAGCAAGTGAATATGAAACTGTATTTTGATAATCTTTCCACATATTGCAACAAATTCAAAGAAAAACAAAACGCCTGGTCAGTCTGGATGCAGAACTTTATTACCTAGGTAGTATTTGTTTAATTTCTGCTGAGATCTCCCACTCAGAGTAGAAAATTATACTAAGAAAGGAAATATATTCAAGAAACTAGAATACCATTGTGCTATTTACCCTTTGCCTGCCAGAGTGTAACATAGGCAACCTGCATAAGTGCTTGAAAATCTTCTGTTCCACTGACCTCCTATGCCTACTTAACTGTGAATTATGTAAGTCTAATGATATTTAATAAGAAATAGAACTTGTTCACATGGACAAAAGAATGTATTAAAAGCATGGAAAACAGGCAACAAAGGGATCCACTGCTGATATTCCATAGCACTGTTAAGTACTATGTTTCATGAGTAATGCCAAAAAATAAATGAACAGACAGTATCATGTGCGGATAATATTTTATCTAATATTTACTGCCAATTTGTCTGAGGGCCTTGCAGCTATCCATATGCATATCCAAAGTGGAGACTTTTAGAAATAATGACAGACTAGACAAAGGCTACGCATATATTTAATTATAAGAATAAACACTCAGCCAAGCAAATAAAACAACAAATCACTGATCCCTAATACAGATGGAATAGTTTACACTGGGATGGCCAACCTGTGGCATGTGTGCAACAAGAAGCATGCACAGCCATTTTGTTTGGCCTATACAAGATGTGGGAGGGAGCAGAGAGAACAGCAGCAACTAGAGAGAAAAGCAATGGATCAGGCAGGGGAAGACAATCATAGTGGGACTTGGGGAGGGCGTGGGGTTTTGTGGCACACCTACCAAAACATTGGCCCTTACTGGTTTAGAAAATTGTGAGCAACTTTAACATTAAAACACTTCTAGAAAGTCATGAAAAACACCTTTAGGCTGCTCACAGATGTTATGATCACACAATAGAGATCTGAGGAATTCTGTGTGCAATTGGAATTTAACGAATTTTATGCCAATGGGCACCCCTTGCACAGGGCCATTTAAACCCCATCAGCTGCAGCATGGAGCTTTACATGGTCCTGATCACAGGGAACTGATGAGCTCTCCCACATGAGGACATGAAAGACCTGCGCTGCAAGGCAGGGGATATTTGGGGTCCTGGATTCAGGACCTGACCCAGGGCTTCCATCTTCAGTTGCTTGTTGATATCAGCAGCCCCCAACCTAGGACACATGCCACACATTTAATTTAAAGGTGTGGAACACCCTTGTGGCTGGTTTGCCATTTTAGTCCCCATAAGTTCCCCAAATATGTGGAACATTACAATTTATCATGCAATCACCATATTAATCACATTTTGCAATTCAGTACTCCTAATTTTTTGTCTTGAGTAGTGGTGGTGGCAATAATACACTTTGCAGAAGTCACAACAGAGAAATACTGTAATGAGTGAAGGATGCAAAAAACAAAATATTGATCTACTTTTTCTGTACTAATATTCTTAGGGTCCTTCCTAAAGCCAAATGTTCCCTTAATTTGAGCGCTCTCAAAACTTTCTCAAGCACTTCACAACTATTTATTTTTCCAGTCAAAGTGCACATCTTCAATTTTACCATATTTTCTTATATATAACAAGGTCCCAAATATAACACAAAAATACACAGTATAACACAATATTTTTGGAAGGTCCCAAGAAGGAAAAAAGATCCTATATCTTGGAGCATGGGCAAGTACTTGAGGTCTGGGCCTTCAGGGATGGAGGCTACATGCTGGGGCTGCAGGCTAGGGGCTACTAAGTAGGACTAGGGACCTGGGAACTGGAGGTTGCATGCCCAGGTTGGAGGCTTGAGAGCCAGGGCCATGTGCTGGCCCCAAGCCTGACATGCCAGATCTGGAGGTGTGCACCAGCCCCAAGACCACTGGATCTAGCCAGTGTGCAGGGTCTGGCCACAGGCCCATTACATGTGCAAGCCTGAGAGAGCATGTTGTTAGAAAGGAGGATGTTGTATAGGTCTGGACATTTGTTGGCAATGGAGGGTAGAGGGGAAGGGACCCCATAAAAATTAACACTGCCGCTCCCTGCCCCTGCTGCCAAATGTCCAGCCTCCATGGGGAGGCTGTTCCTTGCATATAATGAGCACTCCAATTTTTCCTAGCTGGTTTAGGGGAATAAGGTGCAAGTTATTTGTGAGAAAATGTAGTATTTTCAGTTTGAAAGAAAATTCTCAGCCTCTTGGTCAACAAAAAGAATAAAGCTTGGATGCCTCCTACGGAATATTCCTGACCAAAAAGATTAATCAGCTCCTCAACATGTAGCTGATGCAAACAGACTGAACACAAAAGACAGACTTCAAAACTAAAATTAGGATAGAGTAGACTGGATCTATACAACAAAATCCCTTTGTCACCTTGTATAACTTTTCACATGTTCTATGCAGTATCTCCATTGAGAATATTTTTTCTAAAAAATACATTACAATACTAACTGGTATTTATATGCAAGTATACTAAGATACAGAAAAACAAAAAAGCTTAGTGTAGAGCAGCTTTGCTAACATTTGTCATTCCTCTTTGCTGAACAATACTCTTAGCCTTTTTGCAATTTTTAGCCTACAGCACTTATCCCCAAGTGTGTCATTCAGAACAGACTACAGTATAATTATTTGGAAATGAAAACACAGTTCATTTTTTAAATATAAATTAAAAATGAGCAGGCTATTGAAGAAATATGTATTCTTGAAATGTATCTCAAATATGTGGCAGGAGCAGTGGGATGTCTTTCCTTTGTATAACCTTTTCAGTGTAAGTATTTTTTGACAGTTATAAAGGGGCAGTCTTGGCCATACACAAGAATCAATAACAACCATGTAAAGCCTACAGCAGTGCACACTAACAGGCTGTAGGAGACATTAACACTAGCTGAAAGAAATAACTGTATTTTCAATGAACTTGTTCCTCCTGGATAATCAATTTTTTACACTCTTTACCAGCTGTTCCCACATAGCTCAGGTAGCAGAATGGCAGCAGCTGTCATACGGAAACCATATATTATATGCATATTATGTGTTTTTAATCTATCATAGGTGTTGTATACATTTGCTAATTGTAATCAGTCATATCAACATCAGAGCAAAATGAAAACAAATTCACCTTTTGTATTTAGGCAGTATGCAGTCCACACAAATACACTAAGCTTCAATAAATTTCAAATAAACTAATTGCGGATTTAACTCTTGTCACCACTACTCCCCGCACCCCCCCCAAAAACCCCCAACTCTGATCCCAGAAATAGGATTTTATCATTAAATCATAGCTTTCCCCACCCCCGCCCACATTCAAGAGACTTGTCATGATCATTGTTTCTGAAATATTGAGTTATAAGGTGCCATGGTAATTACTATGGAATAAATAGCAATTAAGATTGTTCACACAAATAAGCTCAAACTGTTTGCAGTGAATAATTATGCTAATAGTGTTTTTCTACATAATCTGTGCATCCTTCACAACAATTTGCCAGCAAATGTGAAATGTAAATTTGATGCACTATTACAGAAGCTCTTAAAGTATTTTTGGTTTCTTATGGTTTCCTGCACTCATTTTAAGAAGCATATATCTAAAATGTACTAATATTGCTGTAAACGTAAAGATAAACAAATCAAACCACTTCATAGAAGTAGTAGTAATTTCCTTAGCCTTCTTTCACTATGTGCAAAATGTTTTCTACTACAGCTTAAATTTTATAGAGATTGCTGTAATACACAAACACTTGACAACTTTAAAATAAGCCAAACTTACTGCTATATAATAAACTTTGGCTTTTTCCACCATTTTCCAGTTCTTGTCCAGATCAAGATGCTTTTCCTTCTTATAACAATTAGCAGCAGCAAGATTAGCAACAAGGGACCTAAAATGTTAAAAGAAAAAGGCATCAATTACAGACAGTTTCAGCAGTGCTTTTCTTAACACGGTTTCAATTCTTCCACCAGGATCAAGGACTTTTTAAAGTAAATTACATCAGAGTGTAAAACAGAGAACAATAACAGGCAAGTAATATTTTAAAAGTGGCTATTTGATAATGTCTGCCTTTTTAAAAACAACATATTAATTCTCCTGCTTACAGTGTATGACATCATCCAGTTTCCTGCGATTATTTGTCCACATCCTAAAAATCAGTGGTATTAATGGCTTGTAGATGTTTTATGAAGGTGAGAGTTTATGATAACATTTTTCTTCCCCATTTATAGAATTTTAATTTAATTTGAAAGAACTCATAGCAATAAGCTGCCTCTCTAAAATCAATCAATTTATACATTTTTTTAGACTGAAACAATAGCTAGATGAAAATATTGCTATAAATAACATTTGTAGCTTAAGATGCTAAAAGGTTACTCACAGTTATTAATTTTAGGCACAAGCTAATTGTTGGTAATGTCAAGAATACTTGTTGGCTACTGCAATATTGACACTAAATACATACATACAGACATACTAGGGCTGTGTGAAATTTCGACAGCCGTTTCGTTTTGTACTTGGACATTTTGATGGTCGAAACACCGAATCCTAAATGAAACACAAGGCTCCGAAACAGCTCTGAAACAAAATGGGCCATCCAAAACCTTTTGGAAAATTTCCAAAATGATTCAGATGTTTCTGAAATGTTTTGGATGAGCTGATACAGAACTGTTTAGAAGGTGGGCTTGCAGGGAAAGATAAACTAAGAGGGAAGGAGAAGGGGTGGGGATGAGACTGTTCTGATATTGACATCTGTAGCTGGCCAGTGACAACAATCTGTCCCTGAGGTCCCTTCCAATCCCAGTGCTCTGGGAGAGGGACAGAGAAGCGCCATAAAAAGACTCTTTGTGAACTGCTGTATGCCATTTTGCAGCTGCATCTGTGAGTGTCTGGAGCAGCAGCAGAGAGCAACATCTGTAAGCTTGGCTTGCAGCTTGGTAGTGCCGTGCTATCAAGTTGTAGCCATTGCCATTAATCGTTTCCTATTTACCCTTCCCTACCCTGCCCCCACAATTCTGTTATTTGTTCTTCTTATTTCCCCCCCCCCCCCCCAAAAAAAAAAAAAAAAGAAAGAAAGAAAAGAAAGCAGTGCTTTGCCTGGAAAGCACTCAATACACGTACATATATTACACACACACTCACCCAGACACACGTTTTTTCCAGTACACAAAATATGAAGCATGCTGGAAAGGCAGGTGCCAGGTTCTCTGGCCAGGGCAGGAGAGGGGGCAGAGGGAAAGTTATAAGCCCCTCCACCCCCAAACTTTGACACAGCCTCTTCCCTAGCACTAGCAGGCATGAGGCTTCTGGTGCTAGTGGCATCTAGAAGGTAGGACCAGTGCCTGCATCTACACCCCCTCCAATAACACCAGCCATAATCATCATCCCCGGCACCACCAGAATGACAAGCAGCACCAGCATGACAGTCTCCTCCACCCCCATTTCAGTTCCCAACCTGAGCCTTCCAGTGCCAGAGGAGGAGCTGGATATGGAAGTAGGAGACCTGAGAGCCCTAGCAAAAGAAATTCTGGGGACTGAGAAGGAATCTGAGTTTGTGTTCTACTCTTCTCTAAGTTCCCCTAGAGCCAGGTCTCCTACCCTAGGAGGCAGTTCAGAGGAGACTGAGGTAGAGGTTGTGAAGGCAAGCAGCTCAGCTGAGTCCACTCCTCCTGTTGTTGTGCCTCTGCCTGCTGAGGAGGGGTTTCAGGCAAGCTCCACACCTGCATCCCAGAAGTGAGGAGGTAATGTGGTGTGGGATCATGTTGAGGTGGTAGATGATCCCAGGTATGCTATCTGCCTGCACTGCCGATATAAGACCAGTTGGGGCAAAGAGAAGAAACACCATGGGGATGCTGATGCATCTCTGCAGGCACCACCCCCTTGCTCCTCCTAAGCCTGGCACCAATGGGAGTGTGCCCAAAAAGAAGTCCCCCTCTCGCTCCAAAGCCCCCATTCCCCTGAAACAGAGGCACATCACCCTGGAACAGCAGGGGAAAGGTGGGCACACAGGGGGGAGTGTTGCAAAGGCAAGCGAGATCACAGAGAACATTGGGGATATACTTGCTCTGGATGGCTATTCCTTCTCCCTACTTGAGCAGCTAGGGTTCAGGCGGCTGATGGTGCTTGTGGCCACATCCTACCAAGTGCCCGCACACACCACGTTCAGCAAGATAGCGGTGCCCTCCCTGTATGAGGCATGCAGGGAGTACATGAGGGAGGAGCTGTGCAAGTCAGGTCCACAGGTGGCCTTGCACTTCTCCACATCAAAAGACATCAAGAAAAGTCTTTCATGAAAATGGCTTTTCCATCACATTTTTCAAGCCCTTGGGTCACCAGCTAGTGATAACAGGAGCAGGACTGTGAGCATTGGAAGCTCCTATTAATGAACTGGAATGAAGCTGGCACTTATAAGGTCATTTGGCACTTGGACAAGGCAGGAATGTGATTTGGCAGCTATAATTATGCCTGAACAACCCTCTTTAGGGTCCGCTCTGCTCGCCCCATATGGTAGGGGGCTAGAAAAGGTGCCATAAACATAGTCGGCCTTCATAGATTCATAGATGCTAGGGTTGGAAGGGGCAATAGATCATCGAGTCCGACCCCTTGCATAGGCAGGAAACAGTGCTGGGTCTAGATGACCCCAGCTAGATGCCTGTCTAACCTCCTCTTGAAGACCCCCAGGGTAGGAGAGCACCATCTCCCCTGGGAGCCCATTCCAGACCTTGGCCACTCTAACTGTGAAGAAGTTCTTCTTAATGTCTAGTCTAAATCTGCTCTCTGCTAGCTTGTGGCCATCATTTCTTGTAACCCCGGGGGCGCCTTGGTGAATAAAACCTCACCAATTCCCTTCTGTGCCCCCATGATGAACTTATAGGCAGCCACAAGGTCGCCT